ATTATTATTATTATTATTATTATTATTATTATTATTATTATTATTAACTAGCAGGTAGGTAGAGACAGAAAGACAGGTAGACAGACAGATGGACAGACAAGCAGGCAGGCAGACAGATAGCAGACCAGCTCGAAGGTAGGCAGACCTTTAAACAGACAGACAAACTGGCCTACAAATCAGTACATTGCACAGGTATACATAAAGGTTAAGGTATGGAGTAAGCTTAAAACACCTACTTAAAGCTCTCCAATGGAAGGGATTTTTTCCAAGCCCAAACCCCCCCCNCCCATCCCTCTGGAAATTCCAATTAAACTTGATACAGTTCTTTAAATTTTTTGGTCTTAGAGAACCCCTCACCCCCCAAGGAAATTCCAATCCCTTCTGTGGAGGAGGTACGGATATTTTCTGGTACTGCACATTTCTTCATAGGTTGATGGGTAATTTAATGGGAAGGCCAATATACACATACACAAAACAGTTTCAAATACCAATGATTGCAAAGTATTGGTACTTCCAGTGCACTCGTAAGAAACAAGACAAGTCTTGTTTCTCTTGAGACTCGTCTCATTTCTCTTGAGACCACTCTTGAGAGAAACAAGATGCATCTTGCAAGACGGTGGTAACTTACTTTTGAGCGGTTATAACGTGAATCTGACTCACCTCTTTTGTGCTCTATGAGCTCTGGATAAGCACAACACTGGTCAACTAAGGTGTTGAACAAACTGAGTTGCATTTTGATGATGTCCCCATCCAAGGTATTATCTTTAGCCGCTAATCCGCTCATAAGAGTCACAAAACAAAATGCAAATTCACCAGCCAGAGGACTCTTTGTTAAAGAAACAGGTTCCCTAGCCTCCAACCATTTGGCATTTGGAAGGCCCTTCAGTACATCTACCAAGTAAGGTATAATCTTTTCCTTGTACTGCAAATTAGAATGAAGTTCGAACAAACCCAGTGCCAGAATACCGTCAGTACCACGTTGATCAAGGATAAACACATCACTTGGTGATGACGGATTTGCAGGACACAATCGACTCAGCTTCTTAACCTTGAAAAAGAAATTATCATTCATACATCAATAGCTGATAAAAGTGTGTTGTTCTAGGAAATATTCAAACCTCCCGTGGAAGTTTTTTTTCACTTAAAACCCTCATCCCTTTTGCTTCATATTATTTTTCCTTCAAAATTCCTAGCATTGAACACCCTCCACCCCACCCCCCACTTCTTGAGCTCTAAGAATTTCCGAGGAAATCAGCGAGCAGTGATTCCTCTTCCCTATTGCCTACCCCCTTAGTAAAAATTTCTTTCTCTCCCCAACCTTCCTCTGCTTCAAAAATTCAAGATGGCAGCCAATCATTTCGAGAAGAAACAGTGAGATTCCACTAAAATACGCTTACACTGTAGACTAACTAATTATATCATTTTAAACTTAAAATAGATTTGCTACAACGAATTTACTTCACGTAAACCTAAGCTTAGTTGTTGTAGTAGCTGACAGTGGATTCTAAACAAACAGCTGATGATAATCGTTAAGATACAGATGTGTATGCTTTTAGATTTACTTTTGGATCTACATAAAATCCTCACATAATGTTTTTCTTGTGTCGTGAAGATGGCCGATTTCGCTGACTTAGCTTCTCTTCAAAATTATACCCATAAGAATTTTTAATGTTTAAGCTCGCTTGGACCCACGTCCGGCAAAAATACAAAGTCAAAATTCGAGGTTGCCATATTACGGACATCCAATCTAATGAGTATATTGAGCATATTTTCCACTGATCTACAATTCTTACCTTTTCCCAAGGTGCTGGATCTAAAGCAGCCAAAGAACAGGCTAAATGTCGTAGAGATTCAGCTGGTCTTGGACCGTCCACCGCCATTTTGTTTGTTAGTATCGGTGGGCTGATCGGTGGGTAATCGTAGTAAGTTCGTGTTGTACTCGGGTGCTTTCCGTCACAGAGAGTGAGGTGAGCCCACGGTATTGAAAAGCATTTCTGGTTACTTGCGAATACTGTGAGAGCTCGCAAAATACATCACAAGATCTTACAATCGAAAACTCCACAAGTCCTTTGGCGAATTTTTCCCAGATATAATAATGAAATGTTTCTTAAAAGAAAACGATGACATGTCAAAATAATAAATGCCAGCTGTCAGGCGGTTTCGACTGCTTCAACTCGATTACCTATATTAGACAGGTCTCAAAAACCGCTGAGCATGCGCACTCAGTTCCCGCCTTCAAATGTTTCAAAATGGCGGACGACGAATAAGATTTCGCACGTAATTCAGCCTTTCATCAGGCTGCTCATACATTTATTCAAACTTCCATAATCGGTTGAATTACGCCTTCGACGTTTCTAGTTTGCCTTGGCAT